CCCCAAAACCCCAAAACCCCAAAACCCCATAAAGATTTAATTTATTGAAATCAATGAATTATTAAATCAAGATTAAATTTTTCATTATCAAACTCTAATTGCTTTGAAAATTTCCAAGTCAATTTCTTCTTCAGGCTCCAATATTAATCCTATAAAATAAATTAACTATTTAACTATATTACCTTTTTCGTTCGCAATGTGAAGCAAGCAAATGAAAGCAGAATGAATTGAAACATTTTCTGCATCCACTTATCTAGAACCATAGAGATTGCTCATTACCTAGCTTAATTTGAGGCCATCAATCTCATCGTCATCTTCATAATTTGGATTATTCTTTTATCTCTTAGATTTTTTGACATTTTACTCATATGTTACTACATGTTTCTTTATTGCATTCATCTAATCAGCGACTGGGTCTATATAATCCCACAATTGTTATTTAAGTTTTTTGACATCAATTTTCTTTTAAATTCTAAATAAGTCTACTTTTATTTCATCTCTCTCTTAGTTTGATCCCTACATTCCGAATCTAGTTATCAATCCTCCATCACTGACATCGTGAAAGATATTTTTTGGTTTCTAATCAAATCCTTAATACATATTTGCAGCAAAGCCATCTGCTAATTATGCATCTTCAAACCCAAGCTCAACTTATTAATTGTTTAAATCATCATAGCCTATTTCTTAGCCGTTCATTTCTTGATCCATATTCTAATTCATTCCATCCATTCTGTTTCCATGGCTTAAGTACTCTTTAATCTTATCTTTATCCATATTCTTGATAAAGTATTTTATATAGAGGGATCTTCCGAATAGCTGTGTCAGTCTTTAGAATCCAATATTTAAATTTAGTGGAACAATGTGCCTTTCCTTTTCCTCAATTATATTGTCCCAAGTCAAATGTTTAAATCTTCTTAACTTTTTGCCTTGTCTAATTTTTCTTTATTATGTGAGTTATTTACCAAATTTAGACACAGAAAAATCATTGTTCAGATTTAAGCCATTAAGTATTGATACTTTTTATTATTCAATTTGATCTTTTTTTAGTATTTTTAAATTCTTTTAATTTTTGTTCTAAAAGTCAATATGGATTTGAGGATCAATATTTTCTTTATTAACTTCTGTGAATGCTTAAACTTTCTTTATATCAAGCTAAGTTATATCTCTCGTTGTTAATAATGCAAGCTAGTTTTTCAATGAATTTCCATCGCCAATTTTCATTTATTAAGCAGGCACTTGAGAATTTTTCTATGACATCTGTGATTACTAGAGTTTTGATTTACTTGAGTTTTTAGAGCTAGATATCATTGATCCCTTAGTCGACTAAAATAAATTTTCAAGGTCACATGACATGAACATATTTAGCTTTTCTTCATCATCACTTGCTCCATTATCTCTTGAGCTATCTAGTGAATCTGGAAGTCTTTGCATGTAATCTACTGACACTTATGAGCAATTCAATAATTCATCTCTATTAGAACCTGATGGAAATATTGATTTCTAGGATACGAAGTAAACTGAATCTTGATTTGGATTAGTGTCAAGGTTATAATCATTATCAGCTAATTCGATAATGCTTTTATCTTTTTCTGGGGATCGAGGCATCTCATTCATTTCATCATTTGCCTGATCAAACCCTTGGAATCCATCCACATTATAATCCTATATGTTTCCTGAATGCTAATGAACTTAGTCCATAGGGCCAATAGAGTTTCTATTGGAGGTATAATCTTGCTATTATTGATATTATCTATATTCTTAGTTATCATCAGTATCTCCTTTAATTATTTTATTGATGAAATGATCCTACATAATTATGTAAGAATCAAGATTTCTACTCATCGCACCTGTTTTATCTGAGGTGACAATTTAAGCATTGAAGTTTTTACTAATTACATTTGATAGCATCCCACAATAGCTAGGAGAATTGTTTTTGTTATGATTCTAGTTTAAGTATTCTTCTTATTAAAATAGATTTTGCGGCATTTGACTGTCAAATTAGATGAGTAATTCAGAGTTAATATTTAACCTGCTCGTCATCAATGCACCAAGGCTCATTTCGTCAAATTTCTAGGTTGTCAGTTTGAAAAGAGGATCGATCATAAGCTCTGTGTCAAATTGAACAACATTTAAATTTTCTGGTTTGTCTAAAGTCTTTTCTCCTTAACTCTCATTAAACTTCAAAATTCTTTTCTTTCGCTTATGAGTTGAATTTTGATCTTCTCCACTATCATTTTTATCAGCCTAATCTAAGCCTTCTTAATCATCCTCGTTTCCTTAAAGAATTATTTCTATTTCTTGATCACCTTACGCTCCATGTCTATGTAGACCTCCAAGCATTCGGTAAGTTTCCATGTGAACATTATCAACTCAATAACTAAAATTTCTTAGCAACTTATATTTACCCATAAATTTTGGCTCCTGCACCAAGAGCTTCGCCAGTTCTTCCCCAAGAATTTTCACCTTTTTGCTGAGTAATGAGGGCTGATAAATTGTCAATACAGTTAATATCGATGTCAAAAGCATTCTTAATGTTAACTTTCTATTTAGATAATAACTGATAAGGAATTACATTGTTAAAAGTTAGTTAGATTGTATCATCTATCATTCTCCAGTAATCAGGAAAGTTAGTAACTTTATCTGCCTCCCTATATGCAACTTAACTAATCTAAAATTTACTTTTGTATTCTTATCAATTAAGGCTTTGCTTGGGATTTCTAAGTCAACTATATTGACTCATTATTAGAGGGACCAGAATGTCTAAGTTTCATTTCTAGTTGATTTAATTCAAATTTAAATTTATTTTGAGTTATTTAAATGCAAAATAATTTGTTACTCGAGGGGTTTTGGGGTTTTGGGGTTTTGGGG